AGCTGGGAGCCCACGGGCCAGCCTGTTGAGTTGAACCATCAAGTCCTCAGTTCGGTGAGAGACCCTATTCCAACAAAAAAAAGGGGGGGTCCACAAATAAAAACACTCATTTTTTTTGTTATCTGACCTCTGACCTTCACTTGTGTACACATGGGTAATCACCCCCATACACATGAATCCACACACACACACACACACACACACACACACGAGCAAGGATGGACACCTGAAGACAGGAATCCTGTTTTGTCTCTGCAGACTTTGTGGCCGTTCTGCTTCCCTTGGTGGCCTCCCCATCTTGTGCTTCAGATCAAAGTTTAGGCAGCAGAAAGGACTTGTCTGTGAACAAAGAGGCTGGTCGCTTCCCTTGTTAATAAACAAGCATTGTCTGCTTCTGGTTCTCTGCTAAGCTGAGTTTCTTCTTCCCCTAACTGCTTATATAAAGGCTGTATGTGCATGGGAAAAAGACGCAGCACTGCTGTGTTAGCAGGCAGCCCTCCGTGGAGCGTGGAGTCAGAAGAGTTTATTTCCGAGATCCTTTCTTCTTTTTTATGCATATTTCTCCCTCATTTAAAGGTCCAGATGGCTTGTGAAGCCGGTGCTTTCATCTTGCATCAACCTATTAAGGACTAATGGATCTATTTCTAGCAGTCTTTAAGTTTAAAAGAAAATGAAGGAAAACAACAACTTGAAAAAAAATGAGAAAGATCATAGGCCAAAGAATGAGTCACTGTCGACTGAAGTTGGGACACGGAGGTAGGGTTTGACACTAAGCCGCACCACACAGGCCAGGATCTTCATAAAAAGCCAGAACTAAGGAACAAAGAGTTAAATTTACTGGGCCAAGGTCAAAGAGCTGGAGAGTAGGAGGGTAAAGATTAGAAGGTGGGCCCGCAGAAAGAGCGCTAGGAGGCTGTGAGTTCAAGGAATGTGCTCTTTCCGGTACTGTGGGGCAGCATTCATGGGGCAGCCTGCACAGAAAACATCCCAGGATGTAGTCAGTGAGTGACATAGCACAGCACCAATCAGAAGGAAGAGGACAAAATCTTCTGGTTTTTACTGTGATGAGAGACAAAGGAGAAGAGGAGGTGAGAAACTATTTACTATAGTTACTCAAACGTGGTTTCACCTGGAAAGGGTTCTGCAAAGGGAATGCTCTGGGGAAGCCTTGAAGGGGTCTGAATGACTGGATTGAGCCAGTGTTCTGATACCCATCTGCTCAACAAAGTCCCCACCAGGCTCTATGGCCTTCCTTCTCTATGCAACAGCCTCATAAGACTCTCCTGACAACTCCTAAAGCAGCTTTTGAACCTTGCTTTGGTTCAATAATCCTAATTTCTCTTCCAGCCTTATGACAATTTTGGTATTGTTTTGTTTTTATTCCAGGTTGACCTCAAACTGTACAGCTGAGGATGACCTTAAATGAATCCACCTGTCTCTATCCCCTGAGTGCTGGTATTGCAGTCATATACCACCACACCTACATCCTGGGGATTGAACCAAGGTCTTCATACATACTAGGCAAGAATGGATCCACCGAGTTACATACCCAGCTTAAATGGAAACATAGCTTCAGATTTAAAGTTATCCAGGCCACAGCATCCAGACCTCTAGTATCAGGAAAATACGGTTACCGGGATGTGAATGAGAATTTCTGTGGAACTAAACACAGTGACACACATCTGTGATCCTGGCACTCGGTTCACTGAGGCAAAAGGAGTGCAAATCTGAGGCCATCTTAACAAGATAGTGAAACCCTATCTCAAAGCCAAAGCAAGAAGAATATGACGTAAGAACTGAGGAGGAAATGGTGTCTATGCTGAATGCACTGCTGATTTAACCGATGGCTTATGTTGTGAGGTAATACTGAGACAAACAATACTGCCGACAGTAGAGAAGCAGCCCCTTAGCCTTCAGGGTCAAGAACACAAATTCAGGGCCAGTGAGACATTAAGTCAGTAAAGGTACTTGCCTCAGAAGCCTGGTGACCTGAGCACACATGTGTACACACACCACATACACACATACATACACACACACGAGAGAAAGAGACAGAGAAACACACAAAGAGAGAAAGAACAATTATGGTTTTAAAAAATAATACAATCTCATTCAAATGAGTCTAATTGTAGGATTTTTTTCAGCCCTTCTTTCCAACTGAGGTTTGTATTGTTCTTGGCCCAAAGACGACTTCTCAAGTCCCCCTTCTGCCTGCTGACAGTGCAAGCTCCCTAAAGAACTCTGTTTAATCTTTGAATCAGCTCAGGAAGATGGAATTACCATCCCTGGAAAAGTGCAGTTGGGTTTCTGAGTGCAGCTGCAATTCTAGGATGGAAATGCGACTGGCTTGGAGGTAGGGAGGGATTAAGAGAGCCTTGCTTACCCCAGTGAGTAGCCTGATTCCATAAATCACAGGGGCTAACCTTTGCTCTGCCAGAATTAAAACATACACCGTCATAGCCTCCCCTAATCAAGACTTGTCATCTTCAACAACAGGATGGAAGACCCAGATGCCAAAGAGGGGCCAGAGGGAAAACAAAGAAGAAGGAAGTGAATAATCTTGATGATAGTGGCCGCTATTTTGATAGGAACCAGAGTGCCTGCACCATTTTAAGAATCACGCAGAAATGTGCGCCCTGTTGGAAAGGAGCCTTCCAGCTTCATTCACTGTGTGTCTGGCCGTAGAACACTGATAAGCTCCGGGGAGAGAGCGAGCAGCTGGAACTCTGCAGGCAGCTTGTGTTGCCTTCCTTGGTATTTATTCTGAGATCACATTTACAGCTGCTTTTATCTGCTCTTTAGAAGTTCTTGTATTTGGGAAATCGTTTATGGTAAAATAAAAACCCACTTGCTGACAGGGAAATGTAATTTATTAGCCAGCTAGAAAACCAGTTATCTCTTAATGCATATATATGGAATCTGGAACTTTCTGCTCCGTTCAAGATGCCATTTAGAGAGACTCAAATTTATCATCCCTATGTTGCTCTGGGCTGACACTGAAACCAGCGCTCACTTCAAGAGAAAGTAAATGTAGCTTTCCCCATAAGGTGCATGAAAAAATGACCAGCAGAGACCAAGACACATGCAGTGGGGTCAACAAGACTGTAGGGAAATAAAATACCACCTGGTCCTGTTTAAACGGCCAGCAGACGTTCATCCCTCCTTCAAAGGAGGACAACATTATGAGGAAAATGACCCCAGGACAGCTAAGGTCCCGTGCCTTTGGACACAGTAAGCTTGGGTATAGGTTGCCATCGACTGCTCCTAACCAGGAGGCAAGGCAAGGCCCTGGAAGGTTCCTGGTCTCAGTGTGGAGGTAGGGTGGGAGGTGAGGCACCAGGTGTGTCAGTCAGAATCTTGGGAGTCATAGGACTAGAATCCAGACTAAGCTATGTAAGAGCCGCAGCCACACAACGTGAAGTCTGTGGTATCACAGGGATCTTCAGAGCTAGGAGTTGTAGGCTGATGTCTTGATGTCTTAGTTTGCTTTCTGTTTCTCTGATAAAACACTGACCAAGGACAACAGGGGAGAGAATTTATTTGGCTTACAAGTCAGCCAGGAAAGCCAAAGCAGTGATCTGGAGGCAAAAACTGAAGCAGAGGCCATGGAGGAACACTTGTTTAACCTGCTTGTATTCCTTGGCTTCCAGAGATTTTACCATCCACAGTGGACAGTGCCCCCCCACTCCCAATCAATCAGCAATCAAGAAAATGCCCCCCGGACATTCCCATAGACCAGTGTGGTGGAGGTAATCATCTTTAGGTGAGAGTCCCTTCTCTCAACCAACTCCAGTTTGTGTCAAGCGGACAAAAAACTAACCGGCACAGCAAGACACATAAGCTAATTTAGAAGTGGGACCAAGATGTGTAAGACAGACCAACCCAAAAGCATCAGGACGGGGGTGATGCTGCCACTTTAAGGCTCATATGAATAAACATCTTTTAATCTCTGGCAGGACAAATCAGACCAAAGAAATTATTTCATTCAAGTTCAGCTTGGTGTTGCAGAGTGCTAAGCTTACTTCTAGACGCATGGGTGAGGGGTTCCTTACAGGATCCTGGGCACCTTGGTTTGCTCTCCATGGCTGTGGTAAATCCAATGATCAAAGCACCCTGGGGATTTATCTGGCTTACACATCCCAGTCACATTTTGTCACGGAGAAAAGCCAAGGCAGGAACTGAAGCAGAGACCTTGGAAGGACCCTGCTTGCTGCTTTCATCCTTCATGGTTTGCTCAGCCTGGTGGTTTTACACAACCCAGGGCCACCTGCTCAGGGGTGGCCATGCCCACGGTGAGCTGAGTCCTACCACATCAACACTGACCAAGAAAATGCCACCCAGACTTGCGTACAGGCCAATCCATTGGAGGCTTTTTCTCAACTTGCGTCAAGCCGAGAAATCCAACCAGCATGGTGGGTGACTCAGAAGCTCCTGCGTCATCACGAAGTCCCAGCCAGCATGAGTTACTGCTCACGAAGCTATGTCACTAGTAACCAGGTCAAGTCAACCCTCCATATCCTGTATTTTAAAATCCTATATAATCCCAAGGCCATGCACAGAAGGAGCTGGGTTATGTGGGGGACTGCACCACACTCTGCCAGGGATGGTCTTCTGCTGGTAGAGACACACCTGTTCTGATCTTATGCCATTCAGAAGGACTTGACACTACAGGTTACATTTGGCCCAAGGCTCAAACTTTAAATGTAACAAAAATGACAGTTTCATCCCAGGTCATACAGAGGCCAGGGATAAAGCCCATCTGTTTCTGTCACCCTCACAAGTTAACCAGATGTTGCCCTATAGTGGACATGATGTCTAGTCTGTGTTATCAATTGACTTGATCTGGCATCACTAAGATGCAAGCCACTGAGATCCCTGTAAGGGAATTTTCTGGTCAGATTATTGGAATCGGGAAGACACCTAAATTCAGGTGGCACTTTCTGGTGGTGCCCCAGATAAAAAGGCACCTAAGAAGAAAGCATTGCTTTTTGCCTGCTTACCTTTGCTCCTCTGGCAAGCCAGCAAGCAGCATTTTCCCACAGTTTCAGCTTCAGTTCCTGCCTCAGGCTCCTGTCTGAAGTCCGAGTCTAACTTGCTTCCACGATAGACTGTGACCTGGAAGTAGAAGAAGACATGAACCCTTTCTTCTTCATGTTGACTACAACAAGAGAAGGGCGAGCTGGAACCGTGGGCGTGGGCATTTTATTTTCCCAGCATTCCTTCCTTTGAGAGCGATGCGTCTGTTGCCCAGGTGATTTGGGTCTTGCCCTCCTCATGCCCAGGACTGAGAATGGAACTCGGGTTTAGCCAGATAGGCACACTCCACCCTACGCCAACACTAGGATGTATTATTTACAGATAACCTTTCTAAATGCTTAAAATGTATTCTTTCAACTAATGCCCATTTAATTGGATATGGCAACCCTATATTGGAATACACGTTCGGTGATTTGTCTGAGGTTATATGACTAGATGGCCGAGGAAGCATGCAGAAGCAGTCAGCCTTGTCCCACAGTTTGTCCTACTTGTCTGCAAGGAAAGACAGGCGCCCACTCTGAGATTATGAGAATAACCTAAACTGGAAACATGAACGGCCATTGTCCCAGGACACCAGGTGAGCGGAACAGAGACCAATAGCTAACAAAGAAAGGAAAGCGAAATCAAAATATGATTTGAGTTGCTGCATATAGGTGTGTCTAAACCCATTCAATCATGGACATACAGGGACATAGACCAGTCAATTCTCTTTAACCAGAGAGTTGGGTTTTGTCACCTAACACATAAGAAATCATAGCTAGCAAGACTTGTTTGGGGGTGTTGGGGGGCGATCAGGGGAAATGAGAGCAAATAGGTGAATCAGGATGTGGTTTAAGACCAAGTTAACATTTTTTCTTTTTTCCTTTTTTTTTTTTGGTTTTTCGAGACAGGGTTTCTCTGTGGTTTTGGAGCCTGTCCTGGAACTAGCTCTTGTAGACCAGGCTGGTCTCGAACTCACAGAGATCCACCTGCCTCTGCCTCTCAAGTGCTGGGATTAAAGGTGTGTGCCACCACTGCCCGGCTCAAGTTAACATTTTTTAAAAATGATTTTTATCTCTTATTCTGGGGAGGTGTGCGTGTAGATGTGTTGTATGTTGAGGGAAAATCTGTGTGCCATAAAATGCGTGAGATCAAAGGACAACGTGCAGGAGTTGGTTTTCACTATCTTGGGGATCCTGGGGGTCCAGCTCAAGTAGTCGAGCTTGATGCAAAGCCTCTGCCTGCTGAGCCATCTCGTTGGCCTCAGGTGAGCATCTTGTGGATATTACTGTGGCTTCCGGTAGCCTTTAATGACCACAGCTTGTATCAGCAACCACCGACAAATGAACTGACTGTCCACAGACACAATCCTCTGGCCCCTGGAAAGAACTGACTGTCCACAGACACAACTCTCTGGCCCCTGGAAAGAAGCCTGAAGTTGGAGGCAACAAGGTTATTGCCTTAGCAGGAGAAAACGTTTGATCTGCCTTATAAATACCTGGGATTTATAGCACTCTGCAAGCAATCCATAGGATGCAGGTTAAACACGAAACAGACACACTTTTGGAACTGTGATAAACAAGATTATCATAGTGGTGTGTTTGGTAACACATCTACATACCTCCTCTAAGGAGGAATAGCCACGGCTCACCCCCTGTTGGCCAGTGTAGACTGTTCTTTCTAGGTTCCTGAGCTGTGGAGCAGGGGACTCAGAGTTAACATAAGACAGGCTCCAGAAATGGTATCCAGTCCACGCAAACGCCACCCCAATAGTTTCTTCATTGTCCCCCCACATACATACATACACACACACACACACACATACACACATACACAACTTCTGAAATGCTCTCATTACTTTTCTAATTTAAAAAGTTATAATGAATTGCTGACTCTCCTGAGAGGAAGCCCAACTCTACCTGAAATTACTTCCCCCCCAAAGCAACTTTGTGGCCCACAAGGCATTTCCTAAACTTACTGACAGATTCTGTGGAGAGAGCATGGAAGGGTTAACCTGCTGGTTCTATGGGAGATGGCTCTCTAGTCAGTAGGCCCACAGTAGGACGGGTGGTGGGAGTCAGAGGAAACTAACTCAAAAGAGGTGTGGTGGTTCAAGTCTACAATGCCAGCCGCTACTACAAAGGCTGAGGCAGGAGGTGCTCTTGCATCCAGGAAGTCAAGATCTTAGAGTGAAAAAAAGAGGTAAAAACTTAAGAAATTAAGACAAATGATCAAGAGCCCACAGCTCGTAAAACAATAACGTTATAAATAAAATAACGGGTATTAAAGTTTGCCGGCTTTTTTTGTCAGCACTGACGGGATAAATAACCCAAACTTTTTGAGTGTATTTTAACTTTGTTTCAAAATTTTGAGAGGCTGAAAAGATGGCTCAATTCCCAAAGTGTCTTGCAAACATGAGGACCTGAGTTCAAATCCCCAGAATCTATGTAAAAAGCCAGGTTTAGGCCTGTAACCACTGGAAGGAGGGGCCAGAGACAGCAGGGTCCCTGGAGCTCACTGACCAGCCAGCCTGCCTAAGGGCAGGTGCAGCAGGGTGCGAGAGACATCCCTCATGACGTCAGCACGTACACGCACAGCTCCGACAAGTACATAAACCACACACACAGCATACCCAGAAAACAAAATGGAACAAAAAATTGAATTAGTTGTCACAGTTTTTTTCACTCATAAAATGAACTAGTTGGAAAAGCTGAAAGTGCTTGGTTAGCAAGACCGGGACTGCTACAAATCAAGGCTGAAGATGGGGGAGACTACAGTAAGCAGGTGGTTCCTGGGGGGGGTCCCCGTCTCGGATACGCTGGCATGTGCTTTGCTTCTCCGATGCAGGATCAAGTGCACGGCCTTTCTCAAAGTTCTTTCACAAAAGAAGCAACCCCACCACCAGAACTGCGGAGAAATTATTAAAACTTTGATGCGTCCTGAACACTATGTAGGAAGTTGTCGTATATCCCGGGGGTCCCTGCCAGGGCTCACATTCTGCTCTGTAAATCCTCACTCTGCTCCTGCTAGCTGAGGCCTAGCACCTGGGGTCCGGCTGGGGCCTCCGGGCTCCTGTTCTCTCCCATGCCTCCGCCTGTGTGGGAGAAGCCAGAAAGTACAGCTGCTGCCTCAGGCCCACCAGCTCCACTCAGGGCTCTGTAGCTTTGAATTTTCCCCTGCATGTAATTATAAAGTATGCATCCAGTTATTTACTTTCCCTGTTCCAATGCAGAGCGTGTTACTGAATAATCACAGCTCGCAAGTGAACCCAGCTTTTCTGCTGCAAGGTCTGAATTAAGAAGATTACAGCCCTCCTATCATTCCACTTTAAACAGAAACCACTACTTGTTCAACTTTAAAAAGAGAGCGCGAAAGGAAACAATGGGTCTCTGTGCTCTCAGAAATGCAAGCACACTGTAGAATTAAGATGTTTACATGTGTTTTGTTGTTTCTGACAGCCCTAAATTGCTTCATTTAGAAAGGTAGAAAATAAAATGTATTCCTTGCATTTCCAGGAACCGGGAGTCTGGCAGCTGATTCCCTGTCCTAACATTTGAAGGAAGAAAAATTACGGTCAAAGTGGTATCAATTTGCTCTATTTATCTAGGGAATTAACTTTAAAGCTTAATTGTCACAGACAGTGACCTCTATCCTCATGAAAATCCTCAGAGAATTAGACAGACAGGCTACTGGGGGGGGGGGGCAGAGGGATTCAAGGTTGAACCCACCCTCGTGGAGCCTAAAGGAAAACTCTTAACCCAAGAAGACAAGATAACCCAGCACGTTCCATTGCTCAACACCCAGATCCAGCTCCTAACCCATTGCTTCTGTCTGACCCATGTTTCTGCCATTGAACTTGTCCAAGAATTGCCTAAGGGATGTCCCTTGACAGCGGGAAATGAAGTATCCTCGAAAGAAGCTGAGACAGGGTCAACTCTTGACCCAGCTCAGCTCTCAGAAGACTTTCTGTGGATGGACAAGTAGCTAGGGAATGAATTGAGGAAGCTTTGATTGTTTAGGAAGGCCTCTGGGCAGGATTTCGCCTGGAAATTTCTCTTAATCTGGCAGAACTTGGAACAAAAGCTTGGCTGGAAGTATATACTATCAAATTAATAGAACAATTGTAGGATAGAAAAAAGTAAGTCAGAAAACAAAAATGCAGGCCTACAGCTCATAAAGTTTGCTTTATGCAAGCGGAACAACACTGGACAAGCAGACATTGTTCTCAGAGGAGCAAAACCCCCACCCTCACCCCTCTCCCACCTGCCCCAGCCCCATCATTCTGCATGAGCTTAAAAGCAAGGAAGAGAGGAAGATAATTTGAGGTGATGACGTCCAGGCCTCTGCTGTAGTCAGTGGTGAAGCCAGGTACTCAAGAGGGACACCACTGCCTAAATGGGTAACTGAACAGCCAGGGGGAAAAGGCTGACGTTACAGAACAGCCTATGAGAACTCGGGTATTAAAGTTCAGCTGAATGGCCCTGCCTGTGGAAGGGCCCTAATGAGCAGAAACAACCAGACTGAACTAGGCTTCCCCCTGAATACACGGCCATCTCATTTCCTGGATCTGTTAGGTCAAGTTCAAAATCTGCAAGGGACAACATGTGCTTCCTTTTTTCCCTACAGCACAGAGCTCATTTGTTGCTTTGGCTTTGACGGCTGAGTGGTCCCACTCTCTAGGAATGTTGTTCCCTTTGACCAAGGACAGTTCCAAGAAATCCTTTAATGGAATGATGAGTAGGTGGAGACTTGCAGTTAGCAAAATCAGATCAGTTAAATCAGTCACAGTGAGGGACCGCAAGTCAGATAATAACCAAAGCCAAGTAATCCCAGGGTGGGATTCTCCAATTGACTGAAGAGGCTTCTGGGGCACTTCCATCCTGCCAGGAACAGTAATTAACCCTGGGGAATAGGAGAGCTAATCTGAGAATCATGCAGAGTTTATCTTCTCAAATACAAGCAATGAAAGCCAATGAAAAGGGGACCAGAGACGGGCTGGAGAGATGGCTCAGTGGTTAAGAGCATTGCCTGCTCTTTCAAAGGTCCTGAGTTCAATTCCCGGCAACCACATGGTGGCTCACAACCATCTGTAATGAGGTCTGGTGCCCTCTTCTGGCCTGCAGACATACACACAGACAGAATATTGTATACATAATAAATAAATAAATAAATAAAATGCCTCCAAAAGGGGACCAGAGAAAACAGGTTTGTGGTTTGGGATCTGAGGAAAAAGGAAGGCCATGGGGAACAAGACCTTCTGTTTTCAAATAGTTACTTCTCCTTATCTATTCCCAAGTTGTGTTTTGTATCAATAACACCCAGCTACCTGGAGAGGACTTTAAATGGCAGGAATCCCAACTCCAGCTCTTAAGAAAGTCTAGTATGTAGCGAGCTGCATGGAATCACACCTAATGGAGATGTATAATCAACTCCTATGGCCAAAGTCTGACTTATGCCTGATCACGCAATGATCATCATTGCGTGGGCCTATGGGCAGTGCCCACCTGGCAATCCGGGATTGGGAGCCTATGCCTACTTAAGGGCTGGGAGAGGTTTGCCCAGAGAGAGAGGTCAAAGAGGGAGGGGAGAGAGAGAGAGAGAGAGAGAGAGAGAGAGAGAGAGAGAGAGAGAGAGGAAAGAGAATGAGAAGGAGATATATTGCTGTGAATAAAGTCCTAAAAACTGCTGCAAGAAGAGCTCCAGGTGTTGCGTTTTTCCTTGCTGGTCGAGGGTGGACGCAACACTAGAAGATGAACAGGGCAATAGTACTCCTCAGTTTAACAAATTGATTGAGATCAAAATTTTGAAACATTTGGATAGAAACAGATAAGCAATAGGAACTCACTATAGGTTCTTAATTTTTGCAAGGCAACTGTTTTAGAAGCTCCTTGAGGAAACACCTGTCAGTAGACAATGGCTCTTCCCAAATTCCCAAATCCAATCTATCGCCAAATCCCCTAGGGATTTACCTCCTTAAAAGGGAATATTCCCTGTCAGCAGGATCAGTGACAGTTCTACCCAGCCCTTCCTAAGTTAGCCCTTCTCTCCGAGCTACACAGAAGACAGCCAAGGGAGTTCTTGGGAGCAGACAAGACTTGGCGGATCAAGTCAGCATCTCTCCTGGAGCCAAATATCAGCTTCACTGTGGTTGTGAAGCCATAGCAAAGAGGGCCCTCATCTCAAAGGTTAAGTCCCAATCAGGTCCAGCATGAGGAAACTCATCCCACCTACCCTCAACCCCTTCCCACCTCTGCAGCCAAATGTGTAAGAGGAGAGGACTCTGACACTGTCACCAAGACAATTTCTCATTCCGTGGTCCAAAATTCTTAAAGCCCAACATGTAAAAAAGGACCAAACCAACTTAGGTGGGCTTTTCTACCTTTGCAAGCTATTGGAAAGTGTGTGTTTTAGATACTTGTATATGTTTGCTATAAAACATACATGTCCTTCCTACATATCAACTGTATACATTACTATTTAGACATGTAATTACACTCTGAAAGGGGGAAATGAGTTTGTATGTGAAGGGATTGATAAAAAGAAAATGTGATTGTACACAGACTGAACATTATACTTTTATTTTTAAAATATCGTACGGTTGGTATAAACAAGTCATAGCTTACAGATGTGTGTAAGTCAGCACAAACTGCGCACATTTGCTAGTTGGGGGGGGGAGAACCTGGGCTTTAAAATTTGTTTGGGCTGTATGTTCTTTTCCTCCTTAGCAGAGTGGGAGCCAAAAGAATTAAATTACAGGGTAGAATATAAAGTACCTCCTTTAAGGAAATAAATGTGTAAAAGAAACTATCTAGCCAGTTCTCTCAGGCACGGGAATCCCCTGGGGCTTGTGTAAATATATATCAGTTTGTCCCCAATGACACTCCAGACGTTCCCAAAGAGGGGAAAACTCCCACTCACTCCTACCCACTGGCACTAACACCATTACATGTGATCCAATACTCAAACTTGTCCCAAGCCAGGTAGCAACCTGAAGGGTGACTGCAGATGGGACTGGGAGCTAGAGACCTTTGCTCCCCGCCTCTGCCTCCACTGGGAACAGTCAGTTACTGAGTGTCCACCCTAGCTTTGGGAGGAGAAACGGCAGCCGGTGAGTGCTCACATGTAAGGCTCAGAGGCAGAGCTAAACCACAGGCAGAGCTCCCTTCAGAACAACTTTAAATGGTAATTAAGTTTCTCTGTACTTATCTTTTGAGAGTGTCCTTGGGCTCTGGCTGAGCAGGGACTTCCTCGCTGTGTGGCTGTGTGTGAGGTCCGCCTGCAGATTTGACCCTGCCCCTCTGTGGAACCTGAGCTGTACTTTTCCCCCTTCAGTGTGTGCCAACAGAGGCTGTAAAAAGAGTGTTCCGGCTTTTGCAGCTCCCCCCCCCCCAACCCCAGTCTGCTACAAGTAGCAAGGCCAGGAAGAATCTAGGACCGCCTCTGTACTGTGTACTATCTCTTCTTTCAACCCATCTCCCAAGGAAGAACTGCCGGCAGGACCCGGTGCCCCGAGGTGCCCGCGAGGCCTTAAGGATCTTTCCAGGCCGGGTGCTGACACCTCTAACTGGAGCAGATGAGACAGGAAGCACAAGTGAGGGCAGCCGGCTCCAAGTCTTCAGAATCCCTCAGATACAGACTCTGGAGCAGCAAGGGCAGAACGAACAGGAGCCCAGACAGGTCCCAAACACCCGGCAGTGATTGCGGTACCAGGTCATGATGTTAGAAGGTAGCCCACGGAAGGAAGCAGGCAGCAGCGCAGACATGCTGGAGCTGAGACTCCTGGCTGCCCCCAGCACCCATTTTCTTTTTACGTGGGAGACGCCTGTATTGTACCTGGAGACCCAGAGTCAAGATTTCATTTGGAAATCTCCCTTGCCACCAGATGTGCCTAGTGATTAGGTTCTGTTTTCTGTAGTGTCTCATCAAAGAGCATGCTTGCCTTCCTCCTGTCTTCCTCTTTGGCACCTGGCCAGCATGTAGCCATGTTGGAGTAGAAGGTTTAACTGAGTCATCAAATAGGGGCAATATTTATTCAACATAATAAGAGTTATCAACCAGGAACCTTGGGTCTGAGATTTTGTGATTTACATGGTACCATAGTTACAAATGAATGAGTCTGTCTCCCCAGTAGACT